GATGCAAAAGACCTGTACAAAGAAAACTATAAAAAATTACTTCAAGAAACCATAAGAGATCTACATAAATGGAAGAACATCCCATGCTCGTGGATAGGAAGATTGAACATTGTGAAAATGTCAGTTCTACCCAAAGCAATCTATACATTCAGTGCAATCCCAAATCCAGATCCCATCAACATTTTTTAAGGATATGGAAAAACCAGTCACTAACTTTATATGGAAAGGAAAGAGACCTCGGATAAGCAAAGCACTACTGAAAAAGAGGAACAAAGTAGGAGATCTCACACTGCCGGATCTCAAAACCTACTATACAGCCACAGTAGTCAAAACTGCCTGGTATTGGTATAATGACACACACGTAGACCAGTGGAATAGAATTGAGAACCCAGAAATAGATCCATGGACCTATGGTCAGCTGATCTTTGACAAAGGGCTAAGATCCATTAAATGGGGAAGAGAATGTCTGTTTAATAAATGGTGCTGGCAAAACTGGATATCCATTTGCAGAAAAATGAAACAAGATCTACCTCACAACAGACACAAAAATGAAATCCAGATGGATCAAAGACTTAAACATCAAACCTGAAACTATAGAGTTCCTCAAGTAAAAACTAGGGACAAATTTAGGGGCCCTAATATATGGCATAAATAGACTGTCAAGCATAAACCAAAACGCACAAACAGCAGAAGAGAAACCAGATGATTGGGACCTTCTAAAAATCAAATTTTTATGTGGTTCCAAAGACTTCTCCAGAAGAGTCAAAATAGAACCTAAAAGATTGGGAAAAAATATTTGGTAATGACATATCTGACAAGGGACTTACCTCTAGAATTTATAGGAAACTCCAACACCTCAATAACAAAAAGACAAACAATCCAATTAAAAAATGGGCAGAAAACATGAATAGACACTTCACCAAGGAGGATATTCAGGTGGCCAACAAACATATGAAGAAATGTTCAGGATCATTAGCCACTGTTGTTGTTAAGTGCCATCGAGTCGTTTCCGACTCATAGCGACCCCATGCACAGCAGAACGAAACACTGCCCGATCTCGCGCCAGCCCCACAATCCCTACTATACTTGAGCCCATCATCACAGCCACCGTGTCAATCCATCTTGTTGAAGGCCTCCCCCTCTTTTGTCGACCCTCCACCCTACCAAGCATGA